AGCCCGGGAAACAAAGCGAGACTCTGTCTCAAAAAAAAAAAAAAAAAAAAAAAAAGACCTACATAGGCATTAATGAATAATCTAGATCTGACACAAACCACCAAAACAATATCCTTATCAAAGTTCAGGTGGCAAAACAGAGTCTCTTTCATTTTCTTTACTCCTTTCTCTTCTGGTCCTTATGGCCAATACGTACTCATTTCTTGTGGGGTATTCAAGCAATTATTATTTGTATTAGAATATAAGTTCACTTGAAATTATATAAGTTCACATAATTTAAGAACTGGCAAATCAAATAAATAATTCTAATTATCAATAAGCATCTTCAGCTGCAAAGACACTTTACTATAATGTTTTAATATATTTTACATATAATTTATATATAATCTATATAATACTGAAATTAGTTTATAACATCTAGCCTATTATTAAATCTAAGCACTAAAATATGCACAAGATTTAACTTTATTATATCTTAAATTTTTTATATTGGGTTTTAAAACTTCCTTTTTATGAGTAATGTGAATACATACAACTGTATATACATGTCATCACATTTAACCAAATAATGTCCTAATAATAAGAATATTTTAAGAAATACTACTTAGAATGCACTTATTCTAAATTATTAGTTCTTTATACCTAATTCAGTAGTAAATTTACCTTGTAGCTGCTTTTCAACTCTTTTCAGTTCCTGTAAGATAGAAGAAATCTCCTGCAAGGAAAGCAATAATAAAAATTAGCTACTTTAGTTAAACGTTTTCGCTTGACAAACAATGAATTTCACTTTCGTTTTATTTGGAACACTTAATATTATTATTTATATGGTGCTACATTAATAGCAACATGATATGAAATAATTATGATATCCATTAAATAAGATTCAAATTAAAATCTTTAAATTAATAATGAAATAGAATAATTTTTTCAATTAGATAATAATAGTAGAAGATGAAAAGTATAAGGTAATTCACTACTGTATAAACAAAACTTTTTTTTTTTTGGGGGGGGTCAGAGTCTCCCTCTGGTTGCCCAGGATAAAGTGCAGTGGCATCATTATAGCTCACTACAACCTCAAACTCCTGGGCTTGAGCAATCCTCCTGCCTCAGTCTCCTGAGTAGCTGGGAACACACCCGTGTGTCACCACACCCAGACAATTTTTCTATTTTTTTACAGAGACAGATTTCACTATGTTGCTCAGGCTGGTCTTGAATCCCTGGCCTAAAGCCATCTTCCCGCCTTGGCCTCCCAAAGTGCTAGGATTATAGGCATAAGCAACTGCCCTGGCCAAAAATTTTTAAAAATTTGTGTCAATCAACCTTGCAGCAACCTTGTAAAAGATCCAGTGGATTTTTCTTTTTTGAAAAACGTATAAAGCACAACCTCAATATTAGGATTACACTTTGAGCAATGAAAATCTATACAAATTCTTAGTAAAAGGAGATAAGCATGGTATTAAGTAAATGGAAACAACTCATGTCAACTTAGTATTAATACTTAAGTTTGGTTCTTATTTCAAAATTGCATTTTTGTAGTATACAATCATTAGAAGAGCAAAGATTTCTCCTTCTTACCATCTGCAACTTTAAAACAATCAACATTTTAAAACCTGGTGAGGGTCAGCTGAAGAATAAAATTTCCCAAATTTGTGCATTTATATCTTCTTTTACATAGGTAAATCAACAAGATAGCTCAAAAATAAGTGTTATCTTTCCCTTAAAATATTTTTATGTTTTAATCTTCAAGAAAAATTACCATACCATGCTTGAGGTTTTCACAATAGGGACTTCACTTTCAGCTCTTAACTTGCTTTCTATGTCATCCCAATTCCGATCTTTGTCTTTAAATAATATTCTATAAATCAAAAAACATAAGCATTTTACTTCTCATCTTTTACAAACCTATTACATTTTTGTTAATAATACAAAAAACAAACAACAACAAAAAAATAATACAAAAAACAGTGTATTGTTTCAAAGATACACAAAGGAATAAAAAAAAAGCCATCGCACGAACTGAGAATTAAACAATGAGCCAACAGTACAACTAATTCATATATGCGAAAGATTTCTGTTCAAAAAGTAACTAAATGGTCATTAATACATACATAAACTCTTTACTTTTATCTTATTCTTTATTGAAAACCAAACATAAAACAAACGTAAACAATGATATTAACCCCAAATAACTAGTATTTGTAATTAACAATACAGTCGTACCCCCTTATTTGTGCTTTCCCTTTCTGTGGTTTCAGTTACCTGCAGTCAACTATGGTCTGAAAACGTTACGGTATTTTGAGAAAGAGAGAGAGAGATCACATATACATAACTTTTATTACAGTATACTGTTATCATTGCTCCATTTTTAGTTATTGTTGTTAATCTTTTCCTGTGCCTACTTTATAAATTAAACTTTATCATAGGTGTGTACAGGAAAAAACATAGTATATATAGGTTTCTGTACTATCACGGTTTCAGGGGTTTCTGTACTGTCCATGGAATTGGGGGAGTCTTGGAACAGACAAATCTCCCCTGTAGATGAGGGAAAACTACCGTGTAACTGTCACTTATAAAGAAAATGCAACTTTGTGCACATAGGATATTTGCAGTAGAGAAGTAAGATGAAATTAAGATGAAAATTGGCTCAATTAGGTATAAATAACTATCTGTTAAGATCTCTTTATATAGAAATAGGCATTTTATTGATCAAGCAAAATGTGAACATTATTTTAAAAACTGAAAATTGGAGTACTTACTGTGCTTTTCTTTAAAAATCTTAATTCATATTAGTATATCTGTATATTTATGTTCCTTTTAGGAATTCAGACACTATCCTCTTGATAAAAACAATTGCCAATAAAGATAATCATCCTGTATTAGAAACTAAATTCAAATATCTTTTAAAGTATCACAAAATTTTGATTTGTCTTTCAAATGCAGTATATTTCTCTTCCTAATAAGTTACAATCTATGAGACATGATTCAGCAGTTTTAGAAATATGAAAATACTAGCCTCTTTTTGGTTTCTTTTAAAATTTCTCCATTGAGTTTAGAAATCTAGTTTAACTGCCTTATATAAACATCAACGCTGTACAACATTAAGTAAGTAAATTATTACTACTGGAGGCTAGCTTATCAGTATTTAGGTAGTAAACTAAAATTGATATTCTTACTGGTATTTCTTTCAAGGTCAATATACCAGGCACACTTTATTTAAAAACATGAAATTCATTAACCTCAAATCAAGCCTGGAACATTTGCAATTATATATAACTATGCTTAAGAAGGCAGTAATAGGTCTAGAATCTGGTATAAGAATATTATTCTGACCCACTACCAAATTTTCTAAACTCAAAGATTGAACATCCTTGCCATCCATCTTTCATAATGACTATGATATTACAGCATAAGTATATTATTACGTTCTTGTAAAAGAGTCCTTACAGCATTAAGGACTGGTGAGAAATAGGAAAATAATGACTATTTCATGGACCAACTTAGAACTGCAGTAGAGGCCGGGCACGGTGGCTCACACCTGTAATCCTAGCACTCTGGAGGCTGAGGCAGGAGGATTGCTTGAGTTCTGGAGTTCAAGACCAGCCTGAGCAAGAGCAAGGCGCAAGGCCCTGTCTCTATAAAAAATAGAAAAATTATCTGGGTGTGGTGGCACACACCAGTAGTCCCAGCTACTTGGGAGGCTAAGGCAAGAGGATCTCATGAGCCCAGGAGTTTGAGGTTGCAGTGAGCTACAATGACACCGCTGTACTCTACGCAGGGTAACCAAGCGAGACTCAAAAAAAAAAAAGAATGGCAGTAGACTTGTTAGATTTGTACAATAGAAGAAGTCTGTGCTTAGCCACATAGGGCTAAGAATTCAGTCAGTTTTGCCAGAGGATGGTTACTGAGTATAGTGCTGATGCTTCCAAAATTGTTAAACCTCTGTTTTATCCTCCTTATTATCTTCCATAAATCCTGCCATAGTGCTTATACATAATAAAACTCAATGCTCAAATTGAAGACAATTCAAATACATCAAGCATTCTATATTTAAATCTAATTTTATTGAGGCATTTTTATACATCTATTTGTTTAACTTTGTAAATTCTGTCAATTTCTGAGACAGTGAAATCAATCAAAAAATCAATGTGCTCTTTGTTCTCAATTTTAATTAAATGTCAAAAGTACAAAAGGTATTTTTCTCTGGGGATGACTAGGGATGAGTTGAGTGCAGAGTATGAGAAAGATGCGCTGCAGTAAGGAACAGCCAACAAAAAGAAAACGGTACAAGGTAGGTATTCTATGAAAATCTACTGAATGAATAACTGAGTGGATAAGGATCCAGTCAGTGGGGAAGGACGACCTATGTTTCAGTAGGCAGGATGAAATAACATGGGATATTTGTTTATAGGTAGGAAGACTCCAAGGTTTTCCAGTGGCAAGTCACATGGAGACTCTTATGATATTTTCGTGGATAACAATGGTGTAACAAGAAGACCCATACTTGGTATTTAGCTTCTCATTGCTTTTTATGATAAAGTCCAAATTCTTTAACAAATTCTATCTAAATTGATTCATCCTAATCTCTCCAGTGTCATCTCTCAACATCCCCTAACCCTCTTACTTCTTCTCACTTCACTTACTTTCCAACTAACTCTTCTCCCCATCCTTCAGGACTTAAATTGCACAGCAATTTCTCTAAGAACCCTTCTCTGAATTTCCCCAACTGTCCTTGCTATGAGCTCCCGCAGTATCTTATCACATATTTCCCTTTTTATACTTATTACACTGAATTGTAATTACCTGTTTACCTCCTTGCCTTCTGCACTCAAAAACAGTGCTAGACAAATCACACACAGTCAAAAACCATTCAATGAATGAATGAATCTGGAGATTTTATTCCTATATAAGGTTATTTTAATTAATGCTTATTTATTCATTCTTTTGGTTAATAATCCTTCTACAATGACCCAGCTTTGGAATATAATTTTAGTGGAATTAAATTCAAAATGATAACAATTATATATTATCTTCAACTATATTGAATACTTAAGCCAAACCTGAAGCATGACTCCTGTATTGACAAGTAGGCCTGACATTGGAGCCTACAGATTTGTTAATTCACATGTGATAATTAGTTAGTTACACTTAAATTTTTTTTCCCACGACTTTCAGCTGGGCTGTACTCCAGGGAATGATGGACTACATTTGTCTCTGGCCACATGCTGAATTAGCAGACCATGGGTGGATGGGTTGTCATGGGGAACGAAACCTCTCTTACTTGTGATAGAAGGTAGGATCAGCAAACTTGGGAATGATTTGGTCATTAGGGGAAACCATGTGTTAATAACCTCACCTAAGACAATATTAGGGTGCCAATTACTTAATCACTGAATATGAGTAAAAACAATGGACTCATTTATAAGACCAATAAGAATTTGTAAAATGTGTTATTTATAAATAGCATGCAACTAATTTAATTTCTCTAAAACAAGTTGTGAACTTTAATTTCTTAATTTAATATGATTCCAATTTATACCTGAAATTAGTATATTATACTTTTTATCTCCTCATGTAACTAGTGATCTTAATAATAAGAAAAAGGTGGTACTTGGACTTTGGTTGAAATAGAAACTATGAATGTAAAATATAGATAATATTTAAGCAAAATAATGAAATAAGATAAATTGCAAGTAGGCAGTAGAAATAGCTAATTTAACACAAGCTAATTTGTTCAAATAAATCAGCTGGACTGTGAATTCCATGACAGCAGTGGTCTTTGTATTATCAATGTCTAATTATAAAGTGCCTAGAATGTACTTAATAATTATTTGTTAATGAATGAATATTAAATTATTATTCTGTGGAAAATTAGGTTTATTTAAAATTCATAGAGATATGTGGGAATTGACAAGGGTAAATTATATTGAAAAAAACAATCGATGGCAACATATTGGTAGTCATTAAAATAACTTTCAAAACTATTTAAATGTATAAGGTACTCCTTAAGAAAGGCCGAATGTTCAATTGCTTTTTAACTAAGACAGTATGCTTCATATTCCAACCAAATTGGAGGGGCTGTCAATACATTTCACTGATACTCTTTAGAAAAGTAAAAATATTATTAAGGGAAAAGACAAAGGTACACAATAGTACCTAAAATACGATCCCATTTGTATAAACCTCCAAGAAATGAATGGAAGGGGAAAAACACACACACTCACACACAAACACACACACACACATAGAGCTATTATATATATTTTCTTCCAAATATTTATATGTTTTAACCCTGCTCATGTATTACTTTTGTTAAAAAGATCTAAATTTAAAAATAAAAACAGGACAAAATGTAGATTATACTATTTTTACCATAAGGAATTTAAGATCAATCTTCTAGAGGGCAATAAAGTGAAGACAGAGTCTGGTATATTCCTAAGGAACATAAAGCCAGGCTCAAGATAAAAAAGAAAGCTCAATCCATTTCTTAACATGCCAAGTAAAATTTACCTATACAGGTTGTCATCTTTCTAAATTTCCTTTTAAATTTCTAAATTTGTCTGGAAGATGATACAAATTTCATTTATAGTAGCTTAAAACATTTTTTAAATGGTTGCTTTTTGAAGAATACCTTAAATACAAATTTTTTTTTTCCTATAGAGACAGAGTCTTGCTGTGTTGCCCAGGCTGATCTCAAACTCCTGGGCTCACATGATCCTCCCACCTCAGCCTCCCAAAGTGCTGGGATTATAGGTGTGAGCCAACACGCCTGGCCTTAAAAGCAATTTTTAAATGATACTTTTGAAATAATTTTTGGAAAAAAATTATCTTAACAGCTTCTTTTAAACTAGGTAAAATTAGCCTTACAATTCCATAAAAATAATGTTCAATGTGTTTCCACCATGCTTATTGGTATTCATCAAACACTGAAGAAATGTATTTCAATAATATAAACAATATAAAATTATACTTGTGTGGAATATAATTCACAAGCCAGTCCAGACATGGTTTTACTATATTTTAAATTTTAATTATAGGAATTAGAAATAAATTGATTTCCGGCATCGATGGATTTCTGAAGTATTATTACATAAAATCTATAAGTCTATGTTGTGAATTTAATGTTGTGAAATAGTACTCGATAGATATTTACTTTGGGACAAATTTTTCCCAAGGTAAATATCTTCATTTTAAAGATGGAAATTTAACTTTGAGAAAAAGAAACAAAAAATAAAGCAAGGTGATATATGGTTAAGAAAATAAACCTCTCCATATATGTACACAAATGAGAAATAATTTTATTTTCTTCTCCTCACCACCACCCTATAAACAGACAGAAAAAGTATATTTATTCCTATAGAAGATGATGGAATTGGGGCCGGGAGACAAAAGGTAGCTTGTTCAAGGTTGCACAGCAGGTGGCAAAGCTAAAACATACCCTCAAGTCATCTCCCTATTAGGCTAGTCCTCTTCTCTTTACATTTTATTGGATTCTTCTCCCCGTAACCCTTTTACCCTTCAAAAGCTCATTAATAAAGTCCTTACTTTGGCCAGCTTTCTTTTCAATGACTTTTCTAGGAGTAGTCAAACTAAAAGGAAACAAAGCTATTTCTTTCAACTATTCATTTCAACAAATATGTATGGAGTACATATTTCATGGAAAGGAACTGAAGTATATAATGCTCAGTAAAACATAGGCATGATGCATGAGATTCAGGATAGTGAAAAGGTTAGATATTGGAAAAATTATTATAATTCAACATAAATACAAAACAAAGGTATTTAAAAATGTGGAACTAAAAAATTACACAGTCCATATAGCATTGTAATTTTCAAGGGACAGTTACATAAATTTTCTGAGTCTTACAAGAGTTCACATACTATCCTCCTCACAGATGAGAAAATGAAACTAGAGTAAAGTCTGAGGTCCTATAAAAGCAGTTCTCAAAGTCTGTTCATTTAAAATATTTAGTGTTATTTTGTGGAAAAGCAAAATGGTTCTGGTTATTAACAAAATTAATCTAAGTGATTTTAGTAGTTAATTCTCAATCATGAAGGGGCTGATTATCTAGGACATTTGTTTCTTTTTGTCCCCTTTATGGTTATTGCTGCTATCTAAAAAGTAAGGAACACAGTAGTGGCGGCAGTAAGATTTCATTCCACTGACTTCACGGTTCCTAACAGCTGTGGTAGCAGGCTTGAAATGGTGGAATAGGAATTGTTAATGTTAGCAAGGAGATTTAGAGTAACAAAAAGTACCTGATCTTTCCAGCTGTTTTATCTATAGATTGTCTTATCTTCTTAGAGAACTGAAAGACGGATGACAGCAGCAGATTATCGCCCATGACCTGAAACATCCAAAGAAAAATGTAGGCATTAAAATATCACCATGTTTTGTAGAATTACCAAGAACTCACTATATTTAGGGGCATTTAGAATGTATGCTAACTTTAATTTTAAAAAAACCAATGAAAAATATAATTAATGTGTAACTAAAAAGTAAAAGAAACATTATTAACAAAGGAGTTTCTTTGTTAAATAATTGTCAAGTTTCCATATTATCTTGGTCATATCACTTTCAAAAAATAATCCATTTATCCTATCTTCAATTACTATCATAACCCTATCTCTCATAGTTCCAATTCAAATTACAAAAGGGAAGATATAAATAACTTAGAGCAGTAAATTTATCATTCACCAAGTAATATGAATACAGAAATCAAGAGGAATACAATCTTTGTTCTCCAGGACAGAGTCTAGTAAGAGAGACAATTTTTTAAAATTTATTCAAGATAAGTAAGTTTTTATGATGGGGGTTGATAACACCCCAGTTGAGATTTATGGAAAAACCAGGGTCAGCAAAGTCCTGTAAAGAGCCAGAGAGTAAAGATTTTAGTATTTGGGGTACATAGGGTCTCTCCCTTTGCAGAGTAAAATCAGCCATAGATAACATGCAAATGAATGGGCATGGTCCTGTGTAATAAAACTCTATTTACAAAATAGGTGGCAGGTTGGATTTGGCCTGTGGGCTGTGTAGTTTGCCAAGCTCTGGGCAAAACAATGAAAGGCAAAGCTAATGCAGTATGCTAGAAAAAGGACTAAATTTAAGTCCAGATGTGGGTTTCAAAATCAGCTCTTACATTGTCAGAATTGTATCCAGACACTGTAAGAAAATCCAGAAAATAAGATAAGGCTTTGGAAGTCAGGAACCAGTGGAGGAGATAAAAGTAATATATAGGCATTAATATGTTCCTGATATCAATCATCAATCTAGATGTTTCCATCTTCTTTAAAAATATATACTTCCTCCATGTGGTTATATTTGAAAAATTTGTCTTCCAAGACCTCAGGACAGAATGAGTATTGGTAAGATTAGAGAATGGGCTCTTTTCCTGTTTCCAAGAACAAATCAATTATCAGGCCAGGACAGAAGAACTGTGTTGTAAAACTATTTAGTATATTGCAAATGTACCTTTATATTTGGTTACATGCTTTTTTCCTTCAGGTGTATCTTTTTCTATCCAGTACTATTACCAACATACATATTCTTATATACTAATTTCAGATCCTAATCCCTGAACCCAGGAATTCACAAATACTAACCTATGATCAATGTCTTTGTGTCAACTATTCCTCTCTATACTCTCCCTCTACTGACCTGCTAAGCTTGTACCACCTTTGTGTGTTGTTCTTCAATTGGCTCTTTCTGTGGCGGTATTTGAAATAACCATTCTTGGTGAAGAAACTCCTCTATATCTTTGAAATTTTCCTTAGACTCCTTTCATGTATTTTTCATTAACATGAGCCTTTTCAATAAATCTCTCTTTCCTTGATTTCTCACTGCCACATTCATTTTTTTAAAAGAAAATTTAATAATTTTTATCCATACCGGTCTGCAGTTACACAGAATTAACTGCAATTTTTGGTTCACGACATACATCATTGGTCCAACTTAGTCCATTTTTTTTCTCTTTCATAATGTAAGGATGAATCTACCACCCAAAACGATAGCTAGGACCTACCAATAACCAATGTGGCAGAGCAGATACCGTTCAAAATATTCACTCTGTCCCCTGATCTTTGGTCTCAGTCATGTGACTTGCTTTGGCCAATGGAATGACAGCAGACATGATATACGCAAAGATTTAAAATGTGCTTGCATGGTGGGGCTTGCTCTTTTGCGTTTCTAATATTACCATAATAAAAACAAATCTAGTTAGCCCATTGATCCAAGCAATATGAGAGATACATGGAGCAAATTTGGGTCCAACTTGCAACTTTTAGTTATCTAGCTGACTCTCCCTGAGCAGTACCAGTTGATCCACAGGTGTGTTATAAATAAATGCTTAGTGCTCTATGCCACTGATATTTCTGTGGTTGTCTGTTATGCAGAAAAAGCCAACTAATATATCTACATCTATCATATGGTTTCTCCATTCTATCTCCCTGCCCCCCCCGCCTACAAATAAACAGTATCCTGAATTCCATTCATCATTCTCTTGCTTTCCTTCTTTTTTTTTTTTTTTTTTGAGACAGAGTCTCACTCTGTTGCCTGGGCTAGAGTGAGTGCCGTGGTGTCAGCCTAGCTCACAGCAACCTCAAACTCCTGGGCTCA